TTGAAAATAAAATAATTTGGGGAGTTGTAGGGAGAAGGGGGTGGTGATGTAGGGAGAAGCTCTCGTTAAACAGTAGACACAAGTAAAACTAAGTATAATTTGAGAATTTCTTTTTGTAGTCAATGGTGTGAGGGCATGTAAAAAGATGAAAATGTACTTAGTCTTTGTCATCTCCTATGTTATAAGTAGTCTTTTCTCTTCTTTTGATGATGGAGAAGAACTAACTCCTAGTTCAGAAGACACTCTCACTTACACAATCCAAAAGTTTTTCTCTTTCATAAAAATATCTTTGATATTTTGAAATATGAAAAATGCAAAAATTGACTTCCAAGTGCAATTCAATAGATAAAATTGCCTTATGAATTACACCTTCTAAAAGTTTTTATCAAGTTAAAAAAATACTAAGATTGTGAAATTTTAAAAATACTTTAGAATTTAAAAGTCTATTTTGAATTGTAAAATCTGTAATTCACCTTTTTTATAGAAAAAAGTTTTCAAATTTTATAATGAAAAGACATTTTTTACTTTTACATTATATAGTTCAAAAAGTATCAAGGTTGTACATTAAAAAAAACTCTAAACTAAAAAGACAAAACAGAGTTTTAATATTTGTGGGGTTGTAAAAGGAAAGCATTGGGTGTGCAAAAAGAGGTCCTTCAAGAAGTGTTTTAAAACTAAAAGGATAATTCTCTAAAGTCTAACCCAAAAGTTTCCCTCACAATAGTTTCTTGAGTATTTCTTTCTGCACCCATATAACTTCTTCCTACACTTACTTATTTTGAAATTTCTCATTTTACTCTTTGTAAAATCTTTTCAAATTTTGCAATTGAAACTTTCCGGATTAAGCAATTCATTAAAAAATATGTAAATTTAGAATTTTTTTCTAGATTATATAATCTAAAATTTTAAACTACATAATTTTAAACTTAAAATTTTAGCTATTAGTATTCTACCTTACAATCTAGAATTATTTATTTTCTATGTTGATTAACATTATGGATTATCCAATTCAAAGTAACTCTTTCAATTTGAGATTGGTTAGTCCAAAACTAATCTTTTCCAATTCAGATTAGGCAATTGGAACTTTGTCTTTCCTTACCTATTTTGAGTTTAGAAAAAATGTTAGTGTGACAAAAACGTAAGAAGAAACAACACACATAATAATTTCGTAGGTTTTGATCTTCCAACAGACCACAAATGCAAAACATATTCTGCATTACAATTTCTTTATAAAAGACAAAGTTTCATATTATTTAATTCCAAGAGGAAAAAATTACTCATTAACCAATCCAGAAGTGAAAAAATAAATTAAAATTTAGTAATTCAGAATATCAAACAACACTTAAAAATGAATAATTATCGACTATGCAAAATGGAAATATATATCACCCAAATTAAAGAAGAACTGAATGTAGCTCAAGTTGAGTGAACTAATATAAAATCTATGTTTTATTGCTTTGTTCTTTGAAACGTTTTCCATTTACGCATTCTATAAAAATCAACATCTAAACATCTCATACAAAGTATATGACGTAGGACCATCTAGAAGACATCTTGGACCATTTACAAGAAGCATGGTCAAAATGATAGAAGAAAAGAAGGAGCTTTAAGAACACTACTTTTGTGGAGGACCACCTATTAGACTTATTCTTTTATCCCTAATATCTTTTGTGGAGGACCACCTATTAGACTTATTCTTTTATCCCTAATATCTTTTGTAAATATGTAAAATAGTTTCTTTAGGCCTTGTATTTGGCCAAGACATTTTGTTTAGTCCTTGTTTAGAAGACTTGGTAACTTAAAAAGGGAGATTAACGCATCCTAGGACATGTTTAAGAGTAGTAGCGCCTAAAATGGGTCTTGGAAGAGTTTAGAAGAGTGTGAAGGATGTCAACATCAAGGGAGGCTCCCTTACATTGTATGTGGACGGTAGTTAAGGGGAAAGACTCCCGTTCCTCCCACCTTGCCATAGGAAGCTTCTAGTTCTTTTTAAGTGCATTGAGTCCTAGCCTAGTCCTTTACCTATAAAAGGAAACACACACTTGTATGTTTCTTTATAACTTGATTGAATATAAATTCATTTTGCCAAAATTGCAAGACTTCTCTTCTTGAGTTCTCACCTATGAAATGTCTTTTTCTAGACCTCTTCATGTTTTCTTCTTCAAGGTTGTCCTAACCTCCTAGAGGGACATCTATCCAAAATTGTAAGCCATCAACATCAACATCTCTTCATCTTATACCTCCGCTTCATTCATCTTTGTTCATGGAGTCCACCTCTTTAAAGAAGCTTCATCAACCCATTTGAAAGATCATCTATTATTTAATAAGCCTCCTCAAAGCAATCTCCATCAATATATCTTTTATAAACCATTAGATGCTTATTTGTGAAAAGTTTTCAAAAACATTATTCACCACCTTTAGTGTTTTCCTGTGATTTCATTCTTGTTCTTCCTTCTTGTTGGGGTGTTGGGCTTCTTTACTCTCTTTGACCTATTTTCTTTAATAGCCATGTACTTGGTTGCTTACTCCCTGAGATCATGCATAATTTTTGGCCTCTATATGAAAAGATATTCAGATAAAGGTTTCTGTTGAAGATCGTAAATCAAAGAGTGAACACAAACAAAGTGAGGTCCAAGATCGTGGTTGTTGCTGTAGTGAATCTTTCTATGAAATGTTTGAGGGTCTTGTTCTCTCCCTGCTCTATATACTTAAAGCAACTAAAGTAGTCAACACTGGATTATATAGGCTTTCATATGGGTCACTAGGTTAGTTGTGCCGCGTATTTACGGATGTAGAACCAATTGGTTGTTCATATAACATTGATTGTACTACAACTTCGTAAGCTATATAAAAATTTCATTTTTGGTTTGGTCGTTTTTTTTTTTTGCAAAATAGTCACCTGATTCAATTATTTTGAGTTCATATTTGTTAGCTGTGATGACCTTCATGGTAGACATGAAATACGACCTATTGGTTGTTCATAAAACCTTGATTGGAACAGAGATTCATAAACATGTATAAAAACTCATACACTCCTCCCCACTTATTTGTTTATTGTGACCCACATATGTTTCATGTTTGGTTTGACAATTGTTTTTCCAAAATAGTCACTCTATTCAACCAACACACTATAATGTCTACCAAATCGTCACCATAGACTGAACGTGTGTCAGTGACAGGCAAGAATGTCGATTAAACAAGTAATAAGGATATACTCGCAAAAGATGTTTCCGTTTACACAAAGAAATCATAGGTGTTTTCGTCTGCTTCATTTAATTGAAGACATAACAAAATAATGGAGAAATATGAGAATGATGAGTTTCAATGGAACAAACACACCAAAAACAACAATGAAGAAACACAAAAATGACGGGTCTCAATGAAACTAGTAAAATGAAAAAGCAACTTCCAATCTCAAGTCACAACGAAGAATGAAAGAAGAACTCACACTGTTCAATTCAATTTTTGTTTCCAGGTTAGCAACTTGAAAAAAAATTATAAGTTTATTTAAAAATTGTCACATCAGCCGTGTGCAAGTGTTAAATTTTGTTGCTAATATATATCATTTCTCAAAATATGTGTATAAAAAGGTATATATATGCAAGAAATTGAGTGAATACTCTTTATAAATTATAGACTCTTCGGATTAGTCAGATACGTGTTAAAAATAAATAAAATATATCATTGTTTTCGGAATGTTCACTATTAAATTTGTTATTACGCAGATATGTGTTAGTGATTAATAAAATCATGAAATTACAACTAATTTAGAGTATGTTATAATATTTGCTTAGATATTGATATATTATTAATATATTATTTAGTTAAGTTTTATTTATTATTTGATATGATTGGATTATATTATTGTATTACTTGATATAATCGAATGTGGGAAGGTACATGCTAATGAGAATGGTAAAACACCCTGAAGGAGGTTATGCAATATTATTAGAAGAAACTTTCCTGTTGTTCTTTTATTTATTATATTGTTTGCTTACTTTCTCATTCTGAATAGTTGTAAGTAGGTCTTTATTTTTATTTATTTTTTCATATTTAGTTAATGTCAAATATATTCATATTTAAGTTGTACATACGTGACACTTTATGTTACCATCTCTTAGTGTTTTAGTTGGGTGTGTTAAATAATTATATTATAATTAATAATTAAATCTTAATTTATAAGTGTTAATAATTTAAAGAGTTATATATCTTTTTTGTTCTTTAATTTTAGTGAAAATTAAAATTAATTCATTTTCTAAACTTTGGACTAATTTAGTTACTAATTTTTAGAACTATATCGATTTAGTCATTTTAATCAAATTTTGTTAAGTTTATTTGATTTTAAACATATTTCATGACAGCTTTTGAGTTGTTTAGTGTTTGACATGTTTTCTTAGTGCTAGTTGTATTTGAATTGTTTATATTGTTTAATGCATTTTTTCTTCCATGATAGTTGAAAAATGCGTTTGAAACCTCAAATATACTTAATAAAATTTGATTAAAACGATTAAATTCACGTAGTTCTAAAAATAAAAAATTAAATTAGTCCAAAATTTTGAAGAAAAACTAATTTTAATTTTCATTTAAATTAAGAAACCAAAAATAAGCCTAATTTAAATTATAATACTACTACATACTTCATTATGAAAGTAATATAATATAAAAAATTAATCTCTTAAATTTTTTATTTTAGTTTTTAGTTAAGAAAGATATATTAGTTCATTCTGATATACTAATTTAGGGGGTTAAATAGGATGAAACAAAACAGACTCACAAGTTAAAATTTTAACTCAATCCACCAAATTTTAATAAGTTGGAAAGTTTGCACGCAACTCGTTTTGTCACTTTTAATTATATGTTAATCTTGTAGTGTAGAACAAATTTGATGATTCAATATTACATTCACTCAGAACACTTAATATAACGAAAAGAAAGGAAGAATAAGAAATAGAAAAAGAATGTAAGCTTTTATAACTTGAACTTAGATGTCAATCCTGAGGATACATTGTGAAAACATATATGTGATATCATGTTATGAGTAGGATTATAGGGTGTGTGACTTATTTGAACCCAAAAATCAGAAAAATTAAAGGAACTAATTCATATAAAAAAAAGGAAAGAATGGGAAGACCTAAAAATAAATCCTAAAACTGATTAAATCACTTTAAATGTTCTATATCGCTTGAGAAAGGTGGGGTCATTTCTCTCTTAATTTCTTGGCTATAGCAAATGCAGCTCCTGCCAAAGCCACAACTATGCCTGAAATTACAATTGCTGATTTTATTGTTTGCAATGCATCCTTCTTTTCTTTTTCATCTTTCACCTCATTTTGTGCCTGAAATCAATTAAAGACATTATATAATTAAGAAATTAAAAAAAATGTTAAATATATTTTTCGTCTTCAAACTATTATATAAAATTAAGTTTAATTTTTAAACTAAATTATAAAATATTTAATTCATGCACTCTGCAAAGTCAATGAAAATATCTTTCTTAAAAAAACAACATCATTATATAAAACTTCCTTTGTGACGTGAAAAGTTGGGAATCCAAGTGTAAGTCTAAGTCAAAAGCAGAGCATTGTATAAAGATGAAAGACCCATTATTTTAAGATTTTGAGTAAAGAGTGGTGCTAATCCTCCTTTATATGGTTAGACTCATATTTCATTTGTTATTGTGTCTTCCCCAGTGAACCTCCCCCTTATAGACCCAACAAAAAATACTTCATATGTTTTTTTTTGGAAATGATGACTTGAATTTCATAAAATACATGGATTAAATATAGTTTTTTTAATAATTTAGAAATAAAAGACATATTTAACTAAAAAGAAAAAAAATAATATCCCAATAGCATGTTAATCGTTGGTGATGATCTCTTGTATATGAAAATGATGAAATGTACCTTCGTTTCCTTGTAGGCTGTAACCTCAGAAGATGTCGGGTCAATCTGAACGTTTGTGTTTGTCTCAGGATGAAGTTCTCCAACAACATCTGCGGGTGGGAATGTAAGATCTGAATTTTGAGGTTGGGTTGCCATTTTTATTTTGGCTAGCTTTCAAGCAATGGTGGTTATGGAATAATTGTGGGAAGGGGAAGAAGAGAAGAGAAAGAAATAACTCTCCACATTATTATTACTAAGGATTCATACATGCCAAATAAAGTTGTGCATTATAGATTGACACGTGTGAGTATTGCAAAATTTTAGGTTGTTATACCTTTGTGGGTCTCAAACGATGCCGGTTTGTTCTCAAGCTTGCCGATATACTTGGATAGTCTTGGCTAAATTTTCGATAATAAGGAAATAATTATATTTTTCTCCCTACAATATTCAAAAAAGGAATTAACCTACTTAAGAAGAGAAAAGAGAGATATAATATATATAATAATAATAATTATACGGAATCATAAATTTAAAAAAGAGTTCAAAAGAAAATAAAAATTAATAAAAATTAAATTACAAAAAATAAAGACATGACACTTCTTATTTAAGTTGTACACATCGTTTTTCATATAACAAAATTTATCAACGATAGAATCTGTATCAAACTTCTTAGTAATCTTTCTCTCACTATATGTAATTAAACAATCAGTTAGAAATTCATCTTCTATTTTGTTTGAGTTTATTTTTCACAATTTTTATAATTGAAAAAGATATTTCAATTGTACTTATTGAAACAGGTAGTGTTAATAACAATCATTATAAGAAAAAAACATATTACATACAAGTTAATTCATAAAATCCGTAAGTTATGCAATTTTACTTATGGATTATTTACAGAAAAAATAGTCATAGCTCACGTATCTACGAATTTATCCATATGTAATTATCTAGGGATACATTTATATGTAATGTGTTTGTCAACTTTAATGTTTTTTCCTAGTACACTTAATATCTAAGAATTTATATATACTTGGATATTGAAGTTGATCATTTTAGAAAATTAATAATATATGAAAAGTCGTTAAAACAAATAATTCAAACATATAATATTCATATCTAAGTTTAACAATGTCAAAAATTCGAATACAAGTATTTGAATACATAAACATCTAATAATGTGATAATATATAAGCAACATTTCCTAACATTAATAAAGTCCAATGTTCCCTAACACATTAATCACAATTAGGACGAGGTGGATTAGGGGGTTCTTCATCACTTTGTTGCAGTTGTTGATTGTCCTGATTTGATTCCATTATTTAGTATTTGATAGTTGGAAAATATTTTGTGTAGTCATTACCAGAGTCGAAAGATATTGGATGATCACGCCAATAAAACTCTATATCGTTTCAAATTTCATTTGAAATTGAGAATTCATTTGACAAATTTTCTCCTTACTAGTTGCTAGTCGCATTCTTAGTTGAGTAATCTCCTCTGGATTTACTTGTTGACTAGAAGATGCTTATGTCTGTTGTAAGTAATTGTCAACAATATTATCATGAGACACCAATAGTTGAAGTCTCAAATAATGCTTTCGAAAATAAAATTTGAAAATTTTCCTGTTCAAATAAGAAGTGTTTGTGTTAAAATAGTAAATAATTGAAAGTGTAAAACTATAATAAACTTAGTAGAAACTAACATGTGTTTGCCTAGATCATTCATTGAAAAAAATCCTCTATAGCCTCCCATATATGATTTTGTTGAAAGATTTCATCAACATGAACTCAACAACCAAGCTCCTGAAAACAAAAATATTTATAAAGTAAATCATTGTTATTACGTCATAAATGAATAGAAAATATACAAAGATATAACACCAAACGAAAACCATGGTCATGCACATTGATAGATCCCCCATTATGCAAACTCCTTCCTTTTTCAAATGCACGGTTTTTCTAAGTTGTATCACATTTTTCTTGATACGTAGGTATGTTTCAATTCTCCAACAAATTGTTCCAAATTAAATCTCTAATCCAATCAGGCTTCTTACCTTTCCTTCGAGCTTCTTTAAACATCTTCGGGAGTTTATGAGATGATTTGGAGTTAAGTTTTTTTATAACTCTATCCTCATCCTCAACTCTCCATGACACCTTTCTTTGTGATTATAATGAATAGGTTACCATTGTCAAAATAAAGTAAGTACAATTCAAAAGTACAAAAAAATATAATAGATTATGAAAACTACATGAATCAACAACAAAAAAAAAATTGGAGACTGCGAAACAGAGACATCAAAATTGCATCAACAAAAGTGATGATGATCATACTTTGTGGACACTTATCACATGAAATTTACACATAAAAAGTCTTATCACATAACTTCCACACTCTTATCAAGCTCCTTTAAATTATATCAAAGCATGCATAATATATCGTAAAATCACCCCAAAAATGAATTTAAGATAGTTTGCAAAGTAATAATCCATTAATTACTTAAAATTAACTTTATGGGTACCTTAAAATGTTGGAAGTAAAGACCTCTCTTAGATGATTTTCTTTGATAAGTATCATTCCTTTGATTTTTAGTATCTTCTCCTACATTTTATTCTTAGAATGTAAATGACCATGTGTTTCATCATGATTGTGGTGAAAACAAAAATCTAATTCAAAAATAGGTTAGTAAAACATAATATCTGTTTGCAAACTGGTTATAACTAAAACAAAAAACCCAAAAACCAAATTGAATCAAGTATTACTCTAAAAACAACAAATGGATCAAGTTGTGATAGTTTGGGACAATTGTGATGATTTAGTTGGATAAAACACAAATGCTTTATTCAAAAGTCTTGCATTGATTCAGAAGAACGTTAAGAGATACAAAGACATTATGGGAATGTTTCTTCAATGCTTTCTGTCTGCCCAATCAGTACAAGCAGAACAATTGTCTCTACAAAAACAACATAGTATCTGACCTCGTACATCAAAACAATGTTTTTTATAACAGATCTTTCTTGAAGTTTCCTATATAAAGAAGACCGCATGAAGAGAAGAAAGTAATCTTAACTGCATATATTATCACACTGGTAAAATGCTCTTGTTGTTGCATCCTATAGCCTTTGAGAAAAATTCTTTGTAACAAGTTTGTCCATGTATAGTTTGTATTGATCTAAATCCTCTCTAAAAGAGCTTTCAATTTGTACTTTTTTGAAAAACACTTTTTTTTTTTTTTGGATAATCATAAGTGATTTAACACTAGGTTGTTTAACTCATGGGGAGTTAAATGTTTTAGTTAGTTGGACTATTATATGCCAAGAGTGGTTAAACTTGTAAAATCAAGAGTGGTGAAACTCATTATAACTTTTTAAAGTTAGTGGAACCCTTTAAGAGTGTTTAAAGGAGAATTGAACGCAATTAAGTTGGAGTGAATAGTATAAAAATAAGTTTTCATCTTTGCATTTTTTTGCTGCATTTCTAAACACTCTCGAAAATCCTTAAGTGTTCAACACTGTCTCCATACCGTCTAATCCCTATAAATAACATGTAATACTAATTGCAAAAAGTTTTTCAAACTCTATTCAGACCTCCTTTTCTAGAGTTTGGCTATTATTTCAAAATAAGAAGATAATAATTATGTTTTATCATTTGCATGATTAACAACTAATTTATTATTTAAATTATTTATAAGATATCTAAAATACTCATTTTACCATTTGTGATTTATAACTCCTTAAACCTCTAATGCTCCATGATTGTGTTGCTTGCCATTGGTGCACTTTGAATTCTTACTTTAGAGATTGTATCTTGCAAAAAATATTGTTGGAGATAAAGGTTTTGAAAAGGTTAAAGTTAGCTGGCTCCTCTAGCTAAGTATTTACTTTTTTTTTCAAAAAATTCAAGTAACAAAGGAGGTTTCTTGATTTTCACATTATTTCCAAATTATATAATTTGAAACTTCTGTAAATTGAACAATTTAGAATAAATAAATTGTTCAATGTAGTTACTTATATACAATTTGTGATGAAAACCTTTTGGAGGAGATTCCATGAAGAAACAACTTTGGAAGTAGAAACATATGATGATGAAGGATATGAGATGTGAAGAATGGTATGGAAGTTCATCTTGAAGGAGGTTTTAGCAACCATCAACCGAAAAGGGTTAGGAGAAGTCAAGTTGAAGACAATCCTAATGAACTTAGAGAAAAAAAGAGGCTGCAAATTTTGATAAAGGTTATTTTCATAATTCCAAGTTAAAAGTATAATGTTTGGTCACTCCTATTTATAGGATAGAGGAGTGAACCCATTTGAAGATGAAAACATTGTATATGTCAAATGTACATTGAACTTGTAAGCTTCTTGAACCTTCCTCAAGGATAGATGCAATGCATGTGAGAATCTTCATTTAAAACAAGATCTAGAAGGTTCCTCAAGGCCCAAGCAAGCCCAACACATGTTTGATCGTATCCCACTCAAGAGGGAAGTTCAAAAGGTTTCAAAACTAGCATGCTATCAGAAATTGATCGGAGATAATCGATTATTTCAGTAAAAAGTTCCTTTTTACCTAAAAACTCTCTAGAATAATTATTAAGTGAAATAATCGATTATTTCAGAAGCAAATCCAAAGAAATGACCAAAAACAAGCCTAAATGACACGAGAATTTGACCAAAATACAAGGTCTAAAGAAAAGACTTATGTACATATTTACAAGGCTTAAGAGAAGGAAACAACTAGCTTGAAAACATCATCTTTCATAGGAATAGAAGTCCTTGAAATCCTTCTTCTTCTTCTCCCATTTTCCTAGCCATCATTCAAGTTGTAACTTCTTGGATGAATCTCCATCAAGCTCCTTGGATGATTTTCATTAATTTGAAAGATTCATGTTTACATTCCAAATTGTATATTCATAGTTACAATAAATTAAATTATGGATTGCATAATCTAGAATAAACATCCATTAGAAGAATTTTGAATTATGTAATTCAAAATTATAATTTTACTTAATTATGGATGTATAACATGCTTTGAAATTGACTTATTTAGAATTTTATATTTAACTTTAATTGCCAAAATTTTACTTTCCAATTTGGTTTACTTGTGAGCGCAATCTATCCGTGCTAATGATTTTTTTTTCTTTAAGAAGACAAGTCACTTAGTTGGATACAACATAGAGTAACAAAGTAAAAATTTAAATTTGTATATCTCAAAAGGCAAGAAGCTAAAAAAGCTAGTAATACAACACAACAATACACGTATAATTCAGAAATAAGCCAAAATCATCTTGCTTTACAAGTTTTC